TCTTAACAATATATTGTAAATCAATATATTAAATGGATAACTAATAATTTAAATTGGTATTATATAATATTTTTAAAAATTGAATATATTTTTAAATAAAAATATCAATACTAATGAAATTAGTAAAAAAATATTATTTTTTTTTTATTTACAAGATTTACTAGATATTTATAATGGTTATATCAATATTAAATAGAGGTTATTGGAGAATTTAACAAATTTAATTTTTTATAACATTATCTACAATTCAAATGAATCCAAAATTGTTAATAAAGTTTTATTATATCAATATGTATCAGATAGATTGGATTTAATTGCAAAAAATTTTAATTTTTAATTTAAAATTATTATTTAGAATTTCATTATAATAGAAATACTTAAAAGAGTCATTATATATATTTATATTATTGAATTTCAAAAAAAGATTTGTTATATACTTATATTTTATTTTAATTTTTTTATAAGTAAATATTATTACTTTATTTTATTTTTTTTTTTAACTCTTGCCGTCAACTCAGATATCTTTTATCGCCTTTTTGCCAATCTCCTAGTGTTTCTCCAGGGTACAGAGGTAATTATGTCAGTCCTAACTACTCGTCTTAGGCCTAAGCCTCTAAGTATAGATGATGGGGGTGAAAAGTTGCTATTTCAAGGCAAGCAGACCTTTGTTATCATGCCAGGATAATTATTGCCTGCAGCCACCACTACAGTATTTCAATCATTCAGTTTAGTCAAGACTTACTAGGATTTAGTCAGTGAGATATCATTGGCAGGATAAGAGTACATCAGTACACTAAATTTGTCTAGGAATTGAACCCAGCCTCATCCTTCCTAATCTAACCTAGTAATACATATGGAGGGTTATGTTTTATGGGATTATGTAGTCAACCGTCGCAAGTGTACTCCTTAGGATAGAACATCTTGTGATACAAGCAATATCTTGCACCTCCGACCGGATCCTTGCTACTATTGAACATGTAAAACTTTTACTGATAGTTGTGCGACTAATGGTTTTAGTCATCTGTACCTTTCCTTTTACTACTGGAAAGATCTCATAAAACTTATTTCCCCTTTTTGGAGGTATTTCCTGAACAATACTTGATCAGAAAGTTTATCAATCAGATCACCTATTTTTTGACCTATGGGATGTAGTCTATCCATAAGGCTCTTTGATTGCCAGAACAATCTAAATTGCTTTCTATCACGAGTTACAGAAGCCATGACACAAAGTTCCATTTTAAAATATGTGAATTGCCTCCAGCTGGGGTTGAACCGTGGTTCATAGGTTAGCCCTACCCTGCTTTAGCCCACTGGACTATGATCGGATAGGTCTAAATATTATTACTTTATTTAATTTATATATGACAAAAAATATATATATATATATATTTTGAAGGAGCAGACAGCTCTCCGTATATATTTTTATTATAAAATTTTAGACTTGTAACAGAGCAAGATTTTATACTTAGTATTGTTATTACTACTGGCGAGTCTGTCGTTAACCCAGGGCTGGACCTCGTCTTATAATAGAATAGACTTGTCAGGCCCTTGCTTGACTCTTGGATACCGCAGCCTTGTCTTATGGCGTCCTTAATTATTTTTACTCCAACTTAATCCTAGGCCCTGTTGATCTACTATATAATTGACGATCTGCAAACAAAAAAGATAAGTTTGTAATTAAACTGTTACGCAAATTTACAAGTTTAAGTATTTTAATTAAGCAGGGGACTTCTTTATTTAGCAATTGTCAATTTATTACATTTTGATTTTACTCTACAGCTATTTATATTACTTGTGACATGTCCTCAAATCAATTGTCATGTCCTGCAAGTTTTACAACAAGCTTTCACATACTTTTAGCCCTCCACTGATGCATAATCTGATGCATTTGAACCTGTGCCGTGCCAGACCTGGTACCCAACCCCATATCCTTATTCCCCATTCTGTCATGTCTCTTTCCTATCCATGTAATTATTATGCTAACAGTATGCAATATATGTCTCCCTTGTTAGGAAGAGTTTAACGCAAGGTTTACCATAAGGGCCCATCTGCTTGTGCTCCTTAGCACTACCCAAAAATACAAGAAAAACAAATTTCAAAATCTATATTAAACTTTGAATGGTATTTAACTACCTAGAATAAATAATACCTAATTACATGAAGGCACTGCAACCACTATATACAGGTTTGCCTTCAAATCATAACTAGGATTGGCATGTTTGCTTTCTAAATATGGCTTGATATTTGGCAAGCAGATAATATAACAAGATATATATTATAAAAGAAACAATATCTCTTATATACTATATAATATAATAAGTTAAATATTAATTTGTTTAAAGTAATCAAATAATGTATATTGAAAAAAAAGTTTTAAAAATATATGTTATATTTTGTTATATAATACTAAGCAGTTATAAATATATATTCAATATTAAGAAAAATAGATTTAATAGAAATAATAAATTATAATTATATTTAAAGTAATGTTTATATTAAATAAAAAAATTAATAATTATAGTAGATAGGTTGATAATAATTTCTTTTTAGGTATTGTCAAAATATAAACTTTTTATAAAAGTGATATAACCTTTTCTTTTTAATTTAGCAAATTAATTATATTAAGTGATTTACTTGAGTTTTACTTAATTTCAATGATAAATAAAATATTGATTATGTTATAGCATAGTTTTTAAATTAAATTATATAATCAAGTCAAGAATTTTATTATTGTTTTAATTCAATTAAAGAAATCTTTTGCAAAGAAAATTTTGTTAGTTATTTAATATGACAATTTTATTATTTGCTATATATGAAAAATCCATTAAAGGTTATTATTTGAATAATGGATTTGATTAATGATATTTATAATTTGACTGGTCTTTTTTGAAGCTTAAAAGCATTTGAAGATATATTGGATATTTTCAGTATAGGATTTATATATTGCACAGTATACATCCAAATATTAATCTAAATAGAGTTGATAAGTACTTGACAAATAAAAAGAATTTTCAATAGTAATTTAATTTTGAATATTATAATTGTTATTTATATTTTTCTAATGTTTTTGTTAAATGGATGGATGGTTTTAAGTTATATGAAATATATTGTTATTCAAAGATTTGAAAGATTGAAAAGCTTCTACACATTATACTATTTCTAATAATGCTAAAGATTTTCTTGCATCGCCTAATATTGCTATTCAAGCAGAAGTTGTTAAATAAGAAATTTTTTGAAAGTGGGATAGAGGATTGTTCTGTTAAATAGTTTTAACTGATATTGGTTTGGATTTTGATTTGGTATATACTATATATATTGTTGAAATTCAAAAATTCTTGACACAATTGATACAATTATTTGGTACAATTAATTGAGACATTATTAAAACATATAAATAATTGAGGCATGATGCAATTATTTTTGTGAATTTTAGAAATTAAGTTGATAGTAAATAATTTATACTACATGTATATTATATATCATATCAATTGATTTTTGTCTTATATATTGATTTATTTTTTGAATTAAAGAGGTGAAATTAATCTTGACTATTCTTTTGGAATGTATTGATATTGATTAAAGAATTTTTTTTAATTTTTAATTTTGATAGTATTGCATTGAGAACTCTATTGAATAATGTTGAGCACTGCAAGTAGAATATTGTCAGAAGCTAAACAAGGGTTGAGAAGCTCAATTTTAACATTATTGATAATCATGTTGTTTTTGTAAGATTGAATATGATAATGTTGTTAAGAATCAATTTCTTGAAGTGCTGTTTGAAAAGAAGGATTGGTATAGATGTTGACTGTTTGAAGAATATGTTTATTTTTTTGTGATGAATTGGAGATTTCACCAATAATGTTTAATAGTCAATATTTGAAGGTGTTGAATGGGCTGAAAGATACCTATAATGTCGATGCAATCGTGCTTGTGAATGTTATCCAGCAAAGTCATGGGTTTGCATAGAAACCCATGTCATATTTTTTTCTATAAATATACATGTATTTCATTATAATTTTAGCATATATTTACTTAATATCATTAAAATATTTTCAATTTCGTATGAATAAAGAAAAATAGATGCAGAAATTATTGCCATAAAATTAATTTTTTATAATAAATCGATTATTCAGGAATTGAAAAGGTTAATTTTATTTCTTTTTGGAAAAAATAAATTTCAAAGGATCTTATGAATTCACATCATTTTGATTTATTAATATATGAATTTGATTTTATTTTTGACGATTTGCTTTTTATCTTGTATCATTAATTAGAATATGCTGTACTGTACGTTCAATAACACGAAATGCGGGTGTCCACGTATAAAATATTTCTAGATGACGTTATTTACTTTTGGAGCAAACACGTGGATCGCTCAATCGATTGTGCCCATATATATACTGTATATTGAGACCTATTTTTGTATCTGCCAGATAGGAGGTTAGGGGGAGTGTGGATTTGGATTTGCCATTTCCAACTTTAACAATGGATTTAAATCCTGTTGTTTTTACTTTTGGGATGACTATCGATATTCAAATGGACCAGTTATTATTCATGCTATTTTTGTTTATGAATCGTGTAAAATTTACCCGTTTACTTTATTTTGGTACATTACCTCTTAGAGATATTTAATGGACATGTTGTTTACAAAGTCTTTCTTATTGTAGAAGTAATGGTACTTCCATAACTTGCAATGCAATATTACCTTCTAAATTTATCATCAATGCACTTGTGCATAATTTGATGCGATTGACCTTAAAAATTACTTCGAGATATCGATGTATTAGTGTAATGTGTACGATTAAATGGAAAAGTCTTAAAAGCAATTCCTTGTAACGTATAGCAAAACCTAAATATATGAACTTGGTTCTCTAAAAGAATCATTACGTGATTTTTACTCCATTCAAAGTCAAAAAGCTTTCAAAAGTTCGAAATTATCTTATAAAAATAACAGAAGATGACAGAAATTTCCTTCAAGAAATTTTCTTCCTTCAAACAGAATGGTCACCACAGATATATCAGGCGTAGATATATACCTTGTTTGCAATGAAGATATTCAACTTGCGGCTTTGATAGTCTCAAGCCTACGTGATAAAGGTTCGGACAATATTCACCTTCTGATTTCCGATCAACAATCACAAGTAAGTGAGGAATTTATATAAAAAGATTAAAAACCAAAATCATTATGTAACCAGCATACCCTAAAATAGTGTATAGGAGAGAAGATAAGTGCAAACATAGTAAGTGGTACCTGGAATGAAATAGAAGATTACGAGGTAGCAATTGCAGGTAATTGCGGTCAATACCTTCTATTCGCTATTATGCGTCAATCACACAACAACTTTGTTACAAACAGATGCCGTGATCGTGATAAGCATGATGTATCATGACTTTGAAAAACAAGAAAAGCTATTCTCCGCATGTGTCCGCCAAGATGTAGCTTTATTTATCGCATGGGATTCGGGCATGGAATTGTGAATATGATTTGTTCTTCTTGTCAGTGACATTTACTTAGTATCTTATCACCCATCCATTACTCACGCCACGCACTTGCCATGCCAACAATTATCCGTCCATAGACATCATCTAGTACCTAATCAGGCGTGCCCAAGGACACAACTCCATCAAACATTATTGGATTATGAATCGTCTCTTAAACCCTTTCCTCATAAATCTCATGAATCCCCAATCACTCAATACTCTACATCACACATCAAATCATATGATAAGATGCATTGGGTATTATTTCAAGTTGGAATATTTGCCGACGAAATTCTGAAAAATGATGTATCCACAGTCACCACCGCATTTCACAGTCCCAAGCAGTTCATATTCATAAACGTCTCAGTAAAATCTGATTTTGCACAGATAATTGCTAATGTTATTGTTTCCAATAAGATCAAACTGAATAAGAATTATGTTGTGGGCGAATTTGTTTCTCACACATTTTTGGGGCACATCTACAATGTTTTCAATCAAGGTAATCTATTTCTTTCTAGAAGTTATGTGTTCCATAGTCGTAAATAATGCGTAAATTCGATATTTCCTAGGTCATGGTTATAACAGTAGAGTTCCGTGTGAACTTTCCGAGTTCGAAATGAGTAATTTACTTCGCCTTTCTGGAATCGTGTCATCACGTCTTCTACCTCGAATCATATATCCAAATTGCAATGTGTATGTTTGGAAGTTGTGCATGGAGGTCTCTCTCCAACACGAGGCCATCATTTACAAATTGCTAGCCAATGATCACCGGCAAATAACATTGAGGGATTGGGTCCGTCAGATTATCGATAAGGAAGACGAGGCCAACAGTAACCGACTACAATATAAGATTCAATAAGGGCTCCTTTGGATGAAATGGGAGGAATAGAAAAAATAAAAATGAAAATAACAATAGTATCTATGTTAATATGTTATAAATTATTTATGCATCTAAGAATATTTTAACAAATACAGTAGCTATTTCTCTTGTGATCGCTAACTCTTATGCTCATAAATTTATGAAATACCTATCATTATTAATATTACTATATCTAAAGGTAAGTAAGCAAAATACTTGAACAATTAATTGGACTTCGATTGATACATGTTTGCCTACTGACAAATGATAGCAATCTTTTTTGACGCAGATTTTTAACGCTATCCCTGTACTCCAATGTACTCTTAAGAAACGATTTCCATCCTCTGGACGTGTTCCTCGGTCTCCGGATTACTTAAGATGTTTTAAACAATCGAAATAAATTTTCACACAAGTTTTTTTTCTTTATTAAATTTATTTATAAGAGATCGCAAATACAATATTTACCGACCTCGAGACGACGGTATACGGTATAACGCGTTAGCCAATACGTACATGTTTCGAGATACAAAAATCTAAGCTAGGTTTTATAAAAAACGCAAATAAACTATTTGTAACATGTTTTGTATTCGAACACAAAAATATGCAATGTTTCTTTCATTCTATTTTTCAATTAAATGAAGCTTTTGTGGAACCAATAAATTTTAGCGTTCATACACATAGGTTCCTTATAATAATGACATTATCATTAAACTGTATACTTAACAAAGTAAGATGATACTTGAGATAGTAACCATAAGTCCTTGATACGTACTGTACATTTTAATTGGATTTCATGAAATTTATTACATACGAAAAAAAAGCATAATTAAGATGAAAAGTGGATAGATGTAAATGATACACGGTGAGGTTTGAGTTTAACTCTCGGTTGTTACTTCATAAGTACTTAGCACGAATCCGCACACACCCTATAGCAACGAACAAAACTTGCACAATGGAAATCGGCTATGTATGGACACCCGTTCGGCTCGTTGTAATCACCTATACCATGGCCCTCTGAATTGAATGCGGTTGATATGTAAGTTTAGGTCTTTGACTATTTGTCGAACTATTACGAATACTATAGATAATTTAAAAAACACAAACTTTTTTCCAAGACTTGTGTAAGTATTTAATGATGATAAAAAATTTTAAATTGTAATTGACTGTAACTCAGTGATGCTCGAAGATACAAAATCAATTGAGATACGTACCATGACGCCCAATGGAAACAAAAAAAGTAAGGTTAAAAGATTGAGCTTCATGGTTCAAAAAAAAGCAATTGCGAGTTAAGCGAATATATATGTGTATTTTTAATTGATTATATTTTTTTCTTAATTCACCACATTAATGACTTTCTCTTTATAATTTTATTCCATTTGGTTCTAATTAGAACACGTAAAAAATGTGGGTAAAAATAATGTGGAAGTTCTATATGCAGTATGTATACAAAAACCTCTAAGTAGCACGTGAATTTCATTTTTGAGCACATGACATATAACTACAGCCGACTCGCCATTATCACAACGATCAGTCACTTGATTGACGTCGTGTTCCATTTCTTCCTGTTACAATGCATTATAATTTTTTAAATATTATATGATCGCGGTAAATTCGAAAATTGCTTTTAAACTCTTAGATAAACTATTATTAATTCACTATAGTTATCATCAAACAATCTTCAATAATAATAATACTAATGAGAAATTGTTTCATAAAACTCGAATTAAATTGACAATAATAAGCACATGCATATTTATGTGATACTTTTAATACACATTAGAAATTTTAACATATCACATTAGTCCTTTCAAATAAAGTGTCTTCCTATTACTAGTCCTCCATCTTTATTTTTTTCCTGAGATAGAAATGATGTATGAAAGTAAGTATTCATAATTATTTGGTATCGTCTAATAAAATATATTATTTTAAAATTTTTTTATTAATATTAATTATACGATTACTATAGATAAGCTAATATTTAATTCATTATATTAATAAATAAGAAATATCATTTCTTTAACAAAAAAATTATGTATTAAAAAAAATACATAATGTCTATATTCAATTAAATTATAATTAAAACTTAAGAAAAAAATTTTTATAATTTTTGAAACTTTTCTTATATATACTGTATATATATATATAAAGAAAAATATATTTAAAAAAACAGTAATAAAAAATATATATTTATTAAATACTTAACTTATTATCTAATATTTTCACTTATCTTTTGCCATATTCAAATACTTTTATTCAATACTACATAATAGATAATTATAATATAGTAACAGATTTATCAATTATCTTTTCACAACAAAAACAATTTTTAAAAATATATTGGTAATATTTGTTTGTTTTTAATAATTTATAAAATTAAATATAAATTGACCTATGGGTCTATAGCATAGTGGTAATGCTTCATAGGTCACCAGGAGAAGGTCTAGGGTTCAAACCCACCTGGTTACAAAAAATTTATCACCTTCATGATTGGTTGACCGGCTTCCAATACATG